TGGGCTTCAGACCAGTTCATATCCCCTTTTGAGGTTCCAGATGCGGGTTTGTTGACAATGCTGTCCTCTTCGGAATTTCTGCCTCGATCTTCACTCTTCCCATAATAAGAATCTATCGTACGTTTCTTTCTGCTCATGGTGTTTGCTTATTTCCTGGCCTTTAAAGAGACTGAGCTTTCCTGCTGGGGAGCAGAGGGCACTGACCCAAGCTTCTTGTGTTGGGAGCGTAGGGCCTGGTCGCTGGCTCTGTGTGCTGGGGCCTCCGATGGTGGCAGTTGGAGGCTGTAGGGTTCTGGTCGCTTACCTGCTGTTGGGCTGGAATCAGCAACACTGGAACTCTAGGGGTAGGATTGGGTAGTGTGGCTGCTGGAGATTTCCTGCTCACCCAGGCCTTTCTTTCCTTTTGCTTTCTTCAGCTCCTTTCAGATGGATGTTGCAGGATGTTTATCAGCCTGGGGCCCCTTGGAGCGCTGCTTCCCTTAGTTTTGCTGAGGCACTGGGAGAGCCGGTTGCTGTAGAATGGCGAGGCACCTGGTGGTTTTCCATGTTGGTTTCCACCAGCTCCCCTGCCTTCATTGTGGCACTTGAGGGTCCAGGTGTTAGTATTTGCCTGCTCCACCACCTGGGTTTCAGGATCTCCTCCTGGTATGCTGAGGTGGGGCTTTGCACTAGCTTGCTTGGGACACCTCCTGTTCTGTACTGCTCCCCTTCCCCCGGTCAAGAGGGGCCTTTCCTGTTAATCCCTCAAGCTACCTGGGCTACTGGACTGCTGCACCCTGTCTTTCTTCTGGTTCAGCTGTTCCAGAGTTTTTCCTGGGGCAATATTTTCTGGGATTTCAGAGGTTAATAAGGGAGGGTGAAAGTGACTTACTTCTTACTCCCCCATCTTGGCTCCGGGAAGCTTGTTTGTTTTTTGTGAGGCAATTGGGGTTAAGTGACTTGCCCAGAGTCACACAGCTAGTGAGTATCATGTGTCCGAGGCTGGATTTGAACTCAGGTCCTTCTGAATCCAGGGCCAATGCTCTATCCACTGTGCCACCTAGCTGCCCCATAGTCTGCAACTTTGCTGAAGTTATTATTTGAATTAATTTTTGAGGTCATGTTCTTGGAATTTGGCAAAGTGTCCTATGGCCAAAAACCCAGTTTGGTTCTGGACTCCAAGATGTCAGTGAGGCTGCCTCGTTAGTCCTAGGCTAATGGACCACACAGATGAACGATGACAGGCCACACTGCTATGGAGCTGGAACTCAGTGGGGCATGGACACAATGAGGCCCATTGTTTCATTTAATAATCATCACGACTGCCCTGTGAGTGAAGCAGGTCAGGGTAGTTATTCCCATTCTACGGTGGGAGAAACTGAGGCCCAGGAGGTCAGAGCAGCTTGCTCCTGGTCACACAGGTGTGTGACCTTGTGCTTTGGGCCTCCCTTTCCCTCTGATTCAGGCCTCCTTTGGCTTCACGCCTCCCTTTCCCCTACAGGAGACAGACATACCATTACTTGTTCACTGCTTGTGGAAAAACACACCCAGCAGCTGTTGGGAAACTTCATCAGCTGGGGCTCCCTTGAGGCGGAATTGTGTGCTGGCCTGGCCGCTGGGTCATCCCACTCTCACTGCCCGGACTCAGAGGTCATCCCTGGTTCTGTATCCTCAGGAGACGCTATCCTTGACCAAGGATTTAGTCTCTGAGATCTGATATTCCCTTTGGAGCCTCCTCTGACTGTCCTGATGGATGGGATTTCACGGGCAGCTGGGGTCAGCCCATGGCCTGTTTGCATCCACATTAGGGTCTGCGGCCGGTTCTAGGAAGTCTTCCTTTTCTTGTGGTCACTGTGCAAACTGAGGGTTGGTGCCTCTAGACTCCCAAACCTTTATTTCGCACCTGGGTCCAAGGCACTGGGCCAGATGCTAGAGTCTGTGAGTCACATCAATAAGCCTTTATTTATTAAGCACTTAAATCAATTCCTTGCCATCCTGACCTGTGTACCCGTCACAGCCCCAGGAGGGTGGAAGCTCAGGAGCACAGGGTCTATATTGTGTTTTGTTTTTGGATCCCCCATGTGGTTTCCTCTACCCCACCCCCACCTTAGAATGCAAGCTCCTTAAGGACAAGGACCGTCTTTTGCCCTTTTTTTTAGATCTACGGCTCAGTACAGTGGCTCTCCGAGAGCTAATATTCTACTGGGGGATGTGACAAATGCAGGTAAGGATGACACATGGTACAGCATGGAAGGGTTCTTGGCAGGGGAGGTCTCCCCTGAGTGTTCTCCCCACCCTTGGGGGTTCTAGAGGTAACCCTGAGATGTTGTGTTTTCTAATTGTTGTTCACAAGGCCCCCATCTGGTGTGTTCTCTACCATCGATCAACCAGTAGATGTCAACTAGTTTTCACAAAGGTATGTTTACCGAGATCTAGCAAGGACAGAAGTCACCACAGCATTCCCAAGCATTTCTCTCCTGGGGAGAGTGGGCAAGTCCAAAGGGAGTGAGGCACACATGGAGGTAGGGCATGCCTAGGGGTGCCTTATGATTCTTAGCACTGGCTGGAAGAGACCCTTTCTCTTTTAAGTTCTGCTCTGTGTGTGTGTGTGTGTGTGTGTGTGTGTGTGTGTGAGCAATGGATGAGTCCCTCTTTCAAGGCAGCTGGTTCCTCCTTAGGTAGTGTCTTGGAATATGGGTTGGTTCTCTGTTGGGCTAGGGGAAGTAGGCTGCTTAGCTGATACAAGACCAGATTCAGCGGTTGTTCTGACTCCAGGTGCCAGTCAGACCTCTCTGCTGGCTCTTTTGTGGATCACCGGGCCGCTGCCCTCCGTACTCCAGAGGACACAGTGAGGCTGGTGGATTTGCATAGCCATGCCTCACTTAAATCCAATTCACCACATGTCGTGGCATCACCTCCCTGATGTCATGGTCTTCTTCGAGAAGGAAGGACAAACAATAACAACAATAACCTCTCACAGAATACATAATATATCTTAAATGTTTGTTGACCAGCCACTCCTGACTGAAAGTCTTCTGGCTAATGAAGGTGTCCAGTGACTTGTGCAACCCTAGGTCCAGTGTGCCTGGGCTCAGTCTTCTGAAGGCCAAGGTTTGGGGGGTTTCCCCTCCCCGGATACTCTCTCTTCCTCTGGCTACAGAGAACACGATACTTGGTTCTCTCGCCTCTCTGATCTCCACTGGGTCTCCTCTCTGGCTCCACACCTGCTATTCAGTCCCTTAATGTGGGTGACTCCCAAGAGCCTGCCTGCCTTCGGGCCTGTCTCCAATCCTCATTTCCTTGACAATCCCACTCACTTCGATGACATCAATGACCACCATCTCTGCAGACGACTTTCTAATCTGCATCTCCAGCCTAGACGCTCTTTGGAGCTACAAGTCTGGCGCCAACCCTCGCCCTACCGAGGTCTTCCATCTCTGTACTCTGCATTTTCTCCACAGATCTGGAGTTGTCTGAGACAAACCAAAGGCCGGGGTTGGGATGAGAGGAGAGGCCAGGCCACTCCTTGTCTCCTGGTTCGTCCTTCTCCCCTCACTATTTCCATCAGTCTTCTAATCACGGCAGTAGTCTAATTTCCTATGAAGGCCAGCGTGGGATTACCATTTTAAGTCAGTTACTGCTACCGCTAAGAGTGATACAGATGAAAACCACGATGATGCAAACTGTGGTGAGAATGTACAGTTGGAGATGAGCTCTCTGCAGCTGGCCGCGACCTCCCAAGACTGGCCTGGAAATGCAGATTGGAGAGTCTGGTGCAGAGGAGATGGCGGTGGTCAGCAGCACCACCCACGGGCATGAGGCGGTCACATAAAAGAGGGGTGCCGGGAGCAGAGGCACCCTGGAGCTGGGTTCCCCGAGCCCGCGTCTACAGGCGGACTTTTGGGACACCCGGACAGACGTCCTCCTGGGTTAAGCATCCCACGTGCTCCGGGCTTCGGCCACCTTGCCCCGTCCTCGTGAGCTCGGTTGGGTGCAATCTCTCCTCTTCCTGCCGGACTCCCTGGCCTGGCTCTCCATGGAGGAAAGCCCGTGTCCAGGCCCGACCTTTGGAATCTGGACCTGGGCTTACCCTCAGGCAGCTCCCAAATCTGGGACCCGCTGCGGCACCTGCTGCCCTGTGGTCCCTTCAGCCGGGGCTGCCCACGCGCGGTGTGTCTCCTCTCGGGCTGAGGACCGTGGCCATGGGCTGCTGCTGGAAGCGACCCTCCCCTCCTCCCGGGGTGCACTGCAGCTTCGCAGCAGGAAAGCTGTCAACGAGCCCGGTGCAAAGGCGCGGAGGCGAGAGATGGACGCGGGAGCCGGAGGAGGTGGGGAAGAATGTGTGTGTGGGGGAGGTGTAAAGTGTAGGAGACTAGAGGTGGGGGTGGGAACGCCAAGTGGAGGATTTTTCTGTAGTTGAGTCCAGCCACTGGCGCATTTCTTTCTGTTTTTTGCTTTTTGGTGAGGCAATCGGGGCTAAGTGACTTGCCCAGGGTCACACAACTGGTAAGTGTCAAGTATCTGAGGCTGGATTTGAACTCAGGTCCTCCTGAACTGGCGCATTTATTAAATGGCTTGAATGAGTGAATAAATGAACGACACAGGCTGGAAATTAACCGTCAGAGTAGAAGGTAGGCGTTGTAGGGGCGGGGCCTGCGTGCGAGGGCACGCCGGGGGCGGGGCCTGCGTGCGAGAGGACGCCGGGGGCGGGGCC